CCCGCCTCCTCCCCCGGCGCCCACAGACAAAAGGGCCTCCAGCCTGGGACCCCGGTCGGGCCGCGCAGCGTCTGCATCCCCGGCGCGGCCGCCGAGGAACGACGGGGAAGGGGCCTCTTTACCCGGCGCCACGGCGCCCCGCCGCGCTCCGGTCTCCGGGCCCCGCCTCCGGACAGACGGACCGCCGGACAATGGGCCCCCAGCTGCAGCTTCGGGCCGGCTGGGCGGGGGCTCTCCCGTACCAGACCCAGCGGGCTGAGGGCCGCTCAGGGCCGAGTGCCTGAAGGGGAGCCGGCGGGCGGCGCTGCAGACAGACAAAGCCAACCGCAGACAGACGGACGGAGGGGGATAAAGATGGCGACGCGGCCGCGAGAGCGCGCGGCTCGCGCACCCGCGGTGAGTGGGGCGCGTGCACGGGCCTCACCTCTTCCACTCCCCCCTTCCTCCCCCGGCCCCGGTCCCCTTCCCCGCTCCCCAGGCGCGCGCCTGGCGCGGCGGGCGGGGCTGAGGAGAGGGCCTGGGGGCGGGGCCTGAGGGGTTATCCAATCACGGGCGTCCCTGAGGGTCCTCGCCGGCATCCTCGCGTCCCCGAGACCGCCGGGCCTCGCACCCTCCTCGGCTTCCCCGGGCGTCCTCGGTCCCCTCCGCGTCTCCGAGCCCTCCGGGGCGTAGGAACTCCGACTCGACTCCCAGCTCCGGCCCCGTTTCCTAGCCTACCACGGGGCTCAGCCGCCAAACCCACCACCCGACCCCAGCTCCGCCGCCGCCCCGTCTCCACCCCGCGAACCCCCGCCCTTCGCTCGCGGACCGCTGGGTCCTGCAGCCGCGCGGCCTCGGCGAGGGCCCGCGGCAGCTGTCCGAGCCTCCTCGGTTCCAGGCCTCGCGCTCGTGTTTCTCCGACACGAAGGTCCGTGATAGAGGCCACCGACCCCGGGCAGGCTGCCGCGATCGGGATACCCCTGCCCTCGTCCCGGCCCTGTGCGTGCCCCCTTGCTCCCCCGCGTCCTCCGGGGACGGTGGGGGAGCGGAGGGAAGGAGACAGACCTCCCTTTTGAAGAGCTCAGCTTTGGTAACCTGCTCCGCACTGTGACTTTGGACAAGTCATTGCCCTAACTTGTCAAATAGAGACCGTCGTCATTCGGCCTCTGTTTTCATGGAGCTGTGCTAAAATGAATTTCTAACGGCAGTAGGCAAACATATTTTATAATTACTGGCTACACAAAGGCGGAACTAGTAAAAATGCTAACTCTTGCTGATAAAAATGGCACATCCTAACATTTGCCTAAAGCATTCTTGCAAATTGCCCTGCCCACAAATTTCCAGTGAGATGATGCATGTCATTGTCTACATCTTGTTTAGTATTAAAAGATGTTGGTCTTCCACATTGCTGTAGTAAATATATCTATCTATGTAGAATGGGATGTTTAGATAGGAATTGCTTAACGTTAGCAAACATTAAAAATTTTATTATTATAAAGGTAATGTGCAGAGAGATTGCAGTTACATAAGTCAGGTAAAGAGTGCATTTCTTTTTTTTTTTTGGACAATGTCACCCACCAGTGGAACATTTTAATTCATTAAAATATCCAATTTCTACATAGCCAGACAGTGAAAACATTTTCACTGAATCTGTAAGCATTTAGAATATTTTGGGCAAGAATATATGCTGATTTGACTACGTAGTTCAGTGGTAGAGTTCTTGCTTAGCATCTGTGAGAGTATGAATTCAATTCCCAATGAAATTAAGTTAGTAGTTAAAACAATATAAAGTCTTTTTGTCCCTTCCTCCTCCTTTTTTTTAACAGTGTGTAAGTACTACTTTACTTTTACTGCAGTAGTCAGCAAACTTTTCCTGCAAAGAGCAACCTATGTTTACTACCCCATATACACTCCTGTCTTCCCAGCCTTTAAGAATGTAAAAGGCATACTTAGCTGGAGAGCTATTCAAAAACATATCTGACAGGCTTGGTCTGCAGGTATGTTACTGAGAGACTTATTTTAGGGTTCAAAAGTTTTATCAGCTTTAAGTTACAGCCACTAGTTATCATGATTTATGTAGAAAAGAATAGATGGCTAGTTAACCATAGTAATGTGGTAGGTCCTGTCCTAACATCAAATAAAATTTCCAGGTGAAATTGTCATTTTGTTTTTGATTGTGCTTATTTATTTATTTTCGTTGGTCATAGGGCCTGAACTCTGGGCCTGGGCTCTGTCCCTCACCTCTTCAGCTCAAGGCTTGAGCTACAGCACCACTGCCAGCTTTTTCCTGCTTATGTGGTGCTGAGGAATGGAACCCAGGGCCTGATGCTTGCCAGGCAAGTCTACCACTGAATCACCTTCCCAGCCCTGATTGTTTAATTTCTGAATGAAACCAACCTGTTCAAGCTAAGAACAGAGCTATGGCTTCTCCTTCCCTACCTCCAGATAGTGTCTGAGTCACTGGCTGGTTATGCTACATCTCATAGTTGAAATATTATGAGATCTACGTAATTAAACAAGTATATTTTTATAAAACTCAGGACATTGGTGATGAATGCAGAATCCAAAGAATTCGTGAGTAGGAACTACTTTTCTAAGTAAATTATATCACTACATTGGGGCTTGATGACATATTTAGTGGTGCAAATGGATAGTTCCTCTTTGAAAGGTGATTTGGCAGTATCTATTAATTTTTTTAAATGTACCTATCCTTTGACTCAGTTCTTATTTCTGCTTAACACCGTGCCCCCCACACTTTTTTTTTTTGCTTTATTTTTCAGATAAGTTCTTTGACTGGGGCAGCCTGGACAGTAATCCAACTACGTACCCTTCCTACATAGCTGATTACTAGCAGCTTTGTACCAGCATGTCCCCTCCTCCCCCCTTATTTTTTGAGATGGGGTTTCACTAATGTTTTTCCTGGGCTGGCTTCTAACCAGAATTCTCCTTATCTCTGTCTTCAAGTAGCTAGGATTACAGGTGGCTTGATTTTTATTTTTCAGGTTATTTGCATCATTAAGAACGCAAAAGAGTGGTATGAACATACTGTTCACAAGACATGCAATAGTCCTAATATTGAAAGGCATGCATATGCAGAGTACAGTACAATAGTAGCTACCATCTGACTAAAACTTACCAAGTTTTTTTGCTGCTATTTTACCCCTACAATATCATTTCTTTAAGAAAAAAATAAAAAGGGCATTTTCTTTCAAGATAACAATTTTTAGGATATTTGGAATCTAGTTCATAATCTAATTTCCCCAATTATATCAACGTCTTCCACAATTGGTTTTTAAATCGTATGTAAATGAGGTCCCCACTCATTACATTAGTTGGCTGTGTCTTAGATCTTTAAATCAGAGTAGTCTGCCTTGCAGACTTGTTACAGGAATGACTTCTCTCTCTCTCCCCGCCTCCCCCAATGTGTATGAATTTACTAGGGAAAAGCCCATACATTTTTTAGGGGGGGGAGAGGGTTGGTCTTGGGGCTTGAATTCTGGGCCTGGGCACTGTCCCTCAGCTTTCAGCTCAAGGTGAGTGCTCTACCACTTGAGCCACAGTGCCACTTCCAGTTTTCTGGTGGTTAGTTGGAGATAAGAATCTCAAGGACCTTCCTGCCCGAGCTGGCTTTGAACCAGGATCCTCAGATCTTAGCCTCTTGAGTAGCTAGGATTACAGGCGTGAGCCACAACCTCTGGCTAAATATCATATATTTTGAGTTCCTGGAACCCAGTTCTGTATGGAAATGCTGCATATGGTTATGAACATGGTGCTTTTTGCCCCGCGCCAGTGGCTCACACTTGTAATCATCCTGAGAGGCTGAGATCTGAGGATTGCAGTTGGAAGGGGAAGGAAAGTCTGTGAGACTCTGACCTTCAAGTAACCACTAAAAAGCCCCAAGTGGAGCTGTGGCCCAAGTGGAGAGTGCCAGCCTTGATAAAAAAAAATGTCAGGGACACTCCCTTACAACCCAATCATACCACTTCTAGGTATCTACCCTGAACAACAGGAACCAATATACAAGGACATGTGCACGTCCATGTTTACTGCAGCACTGTTCACAATAGCTAGGATATGGAAACAACCCAGATGCCCCACCACAGATGAATGGATCCAAAAATTGTGGTATCTAACACAATGGAATATTATGCAGCCATTAGAAATGACAAAATAATGGCATTTGCAGGGAAATGGATGGAGCTAGAAGGAATCATGTTGAGCGAGGTAAGCCAAGAGCAAAGAGACAAACGGTACATGGTTTCCCTGATAAGTGGATGCTAAATCCAAAATGTTAGCTGATATGACAAAACTAACAGGACTTAAGAAACAAAGAACTCCCACTCATCTGGTCAAACCACTACTAAATATCCCCATGCTGCTGATCACATGTGTGGTGTATATGTGTACACCGTTATATGTTATAGACTGTGATAGACAATTTGCTCCAGGAAAGTTAGAATGTACTTGTGACTTTAAATGAGCATCATTATTCCATAATACTGTGAATTTCCGGAAATTATGTAATCACTTAACCACAATTAAAAAAAAAAAGAACCTGGGGAAGGTAGGGAGGGAAGGGATGGTAGGGGGAAAACAATGGAGGGGGTAACAATGCTCAATAGGAAGTGTACTCATTACCTTGCTCATGTAACTGTAACCCTCTGTATAGTATCTTTACAATAAAAAATTAAAAAAAATGTCAGGGACAGCTCCTAGCCCAGAATTTAAGCCTCAGGACCTGCACAAAAGACAAAACAAAAAAGACAGTACGTCCCAATTCATGTTAACTCCTCAGGGTTCATGCCTAGCTCCTTACAACAACGAAGCAAACCCAATTTTGGCCTCCATAGAGGCAGCCTCGACACCAGGGGGCAGGATCATCACCTCCTTCTGAACAGTCGAAGGCTCAGGCAGCCCCTAGACCGAGAACATGGGCTTGACATGAAAAAAGGTATTCAAAGGAAAAAGTTGGCTCAATTCAACGGTAAAGGGAAATCGCGGGAAGTCTGACTTCCGAAAGGTCACCGGGCTTGGCTTACAACGGGGTGGGGGTGGGGTCGAGGAGGGGTCAGCAGCGGCCGCAGCTGGTAACCGAGAGACGGAGGGTAAACAGAGGCAAGCTGCCCGAGAGGGAACGAAACCCGCCGCCACGCCGCACGGGGCAGAAACCGGGACGCGGAGAAAAGCCGTCCCGGGCCGGCGCAGAGGCGAGCAAATCTCAGCGAGGAACCCTGGGCGTCGCCAGCAGCTCTGGGGCCGGTTTTTCTAGGAGCTGCAGCAAAGTGGGAATGGGGCTCGGAGCACCGACTAGCAGAGCCGGCACCGCCTCCCTCACCAAGCCCAGGGCGAACTCCAGGGCGCGCCCCAGCAGGCGATTCAAACCCCGCGTGACACCTGACAAACACTCCGATGTCAAATCCCGCGCCTCCGCCGCGGGAAGTAGTCCCCAGCTGCGCTGGCTCTAGAGGAAGCCTAAGGCCCGAGACGCTACGACCTCGGCGGGTGGGTTCCGGCAGCGGCGAGGCTGCAGCCAATCCCTGAAGAGAAGGGCGTGTCTAACTCCGCCCCCGCCTGGATCCCTCCGCCCGCGCTTGCTGTGCTGAGGCCGAGGGAGTCGCCATTTTGGATGCTCAGTGGCCCGTCTGAAGTCGCTTTTCCCGTTTTTACGTCTGGATTCAGCTAGGTGAGTGTGGCATTTTCAGTCTCAGGGGTCTCTGTCTCCTCTTGCTCTGCGCCTTGGACTTTAGCAGTCCCTAGACAGCTGCAGGGCCCGCGGTTCCAGTGGCTCTCGGAGTGTCAGCGCGGGGAGGAAGGGAAGACTCCGGGAAGTGGGGTCAGGCCGGAGGTCGGGCCTGGCGGGCCGCGGGGTGGGGGGCGGCCGGGGCGGGATGCGCGCGGCGGGGCGGCCAGCTGCTCGGACGCCGCTTGGTCTCGGACACCGCCGTTACCAAACTTTGCCGTCGTCTTCC